GGGCCGGGCGGACCCGGCGGCGGCGCGCCCCAGGGCACGGGTCAGCAGCAGCAGGAGCTCTCGGACATGCTGCAAATGCTGGACCAGGGTGGCGCATCGTCCTTCGAGGAGCTCAACATGTTCAACACTAGCTTCGAGTAGAGGACGGACTCGCTCGTTCCTTCTCGCGACAGTGCCTGCCGCCTGGCGTCATCATCTTCTTCTTGGAAGTGTGTGTGTTTTATAATGGAGAGAAAAAAAGTATATGAACAAATGGAATATTTTGTGGTACTGGCAATAATTGTCAAGTGCACAGGTTGCTTGACCGTGCCTGCCATGAAATGGACAAGTGAACCCTGTACATATCGCTGAGCAGCAAGGACTGACAGGGGCGATGAAAAGAATAATGCAAGTGTGGTTGATCTTTGCCAGCTCTGTACTGTTCTTACATCTGGCATATAAACTTGATTTTTAAGAATTTTTCCCCCTATTTTGGTCTTCTCCATGCTGTGTGCTGTAAATAATCACTACTGCCTGTGCCACAGTCAGCGTTCTCAAGTTACTGAATGAGCCGCTTACAGTGGCAAGGAGCACCTGCTTGAATAGAATAGTGATATCCCATCTCTGTATCTGTTGGTAAAGCTCAGCAGATTCTGTATGGAGGCAGATACATTGTCAAACTGCCTTTAACTCTGTCATGTTGCTGCACTCAGCCAAAATATATAATATTTTTTATGTGCTGACTAGGAAATCATTCCAAAATGAATATTTGTGCAAAGTACCCATTCTCTCTCTCTATGATGGTCCTTGTTAAATGGCAACTATATATACTGCATATGAAAAGGCTATCATGAGATTGCCTTAATATCACACATGCACTTGCACTTCACTCATACTTTTGATGTCCAGTGTTTTATTTCCATGTTATCACCTTTACTGTCCTATTACATGTGTTCATCTTCCATGGGAACACATGCAGGACACTTGCTTCAGCCTGCACATATCATTGGAAGTGCATCTAGAACCATAGGGAGTGAGAAGATAGGACTTTTGTATACAGGGGGGTTACATGTCTGTAGTCGTAGTGCCATTTGATGCTCTGTAGTGTAGCATGGTTCTCTGTTCATCTGGGAGCAGGGGAGTTTCTCAATGAACTACTGACTGTGTGCGGTTGGAGAGCAACCTCCCCTGCATCCAGCCTCCTCTGCTTGGGGTCCGGATCTCTTCATGTATCAAGTACAATGACAGATATTAATTTTTGTACAGCTGATATGAAGAAATTGTAGTGATAAAAATCTGAAACAATTTAAATTATGTCCAATTTTTGTGTACAAATGGAAATCTGAAAAAAAAAAAGTTCATGTAGTATGTCTGTTGTTTATTTCTGAATTCTTGCTTTATTTATTAATTTTCAAGTGTGTATTTCATACACTTATATACATTTTGTAGCTAGTCCTAAATATCCAAGTGAATATTGGAAGAATCACAACAAAAGTATTTTCTTCTTTCGTTCATAGGTATTGCAACATAATTTCGTGTGTTTCATAGTGGGCATGGCATTTATATTCGCATAGGCAAGAGAAGATTTTCTAAATGTTGGCACTTATTTGCTCCTTTGGAAGTGGGGTTACTTTTCCCAGGGTGGTTATTATCTTATGCATTCCAAATTACAAAGGTATCTTCTGAAATCATGATTTTTAAGATTTTGCTCATATTTTATTTATGAATTTTGCCAACACCATAAGAGTTGTCCTTGAATCAATTGCTCTAATTTTGAGATTCATCATCCTTGTAATGTTGCTTTATTTACTAAAATACTGGGCTGTATTGGAGAGAGTGATGTATGCCTACTTAAAGAGGCCCATACAGAGAATGATGGTGATATAGAATTCTTCCAAATTATTTTAATATACATCTTCCATCTACTTATCCTGTCATGCACACAGCTGGAAGGAATGGGGCAGAACTGTGGCCTCTGGAAGTCATTGCTGACATCCCTCTTCCACACTCTGAAATTTTTATAATTTCAATCTCATAGAAGCTTGTAAATACCACTTTGCAGAAAATAATAGTATTATTGTTGTAAATGCTATTTCAATAATTATTAGTTAATATACTCATGATTAAAATTATTTTGAATGACATGATGAACAAGCTGGACTCAGCTGATTGAAATTCTTAAAACACCTAATTGCAACATATAATCTCCAATTTCTCACTCAATTACTGCCATAGCTGAGATGCATGGTTCATGGTTGTGAGCTTTACTTCTCAATGCTTTGAATGATGGCTACTGATGACACTCAGTTCCTGGTGACGCAGATTGACAGAGTGATAACACAGGCTAAGGGAGTGCCCTTGTCTTACAGACCTGAGACTTTTTCTGATTTGTAGTGGAAATTTCGAATTGTAGAGAAGCTGAACAATTTTTGGGAAAATCACAAATACCTGAGCATTTAAAAAATATTGCAAAGAAAATATGGAATAGGTTTTCAAGGGATTTGCCAGCAGAAAGAACCTCATGTTCAGTTCATATTCACATAAAACTTTTTTCTACAGTCATAAACAATGTGGGTTTCTACCTGCTGCTATGCATGCGTGAGGTTAGACTTTTCCTGAAAACTCTTAAAAACTTGTCACTATGCATGAGCAACCTTTTTTCATGGTGATATCACAGTGCAAAAAATACTTTTGCACATGGTAGGTAGAGTAAAAGGAGGGCTCAGATTCTGATAACCTAAAAATTCTTTGAAAATTACTTAAAAATAAGGGGAAATAACCTAATTAAAAAATTACTAAAAAGTGTGCATGAAAATGTTTACTTATTCAATGGATTTTACAATTTTAAATAAATATAAAGACTTTATTTTAGGAGGAAATATAATCCTTAGCTTTGATTATCTGAAAAAATACTTTTTAAAAGCAGAGAAATGTATTATTAAAATATTTTTAAAAGAAAATAATCTACAAATAAAAAGCATAATATGAGGAAAGGGAAATTGTTCCCTCCTGAGTCAGCATGAGCATTCCAATAGATGATTGTGATCGTACAACAGATTGTCGAATGAGAATATATACCAAATGGAAATCCGCCAGCTGGTTCTTGTTCGTGGAAAAGCTTTCCTCATCAGGTGAATAGATAGAAGCGTACTTGAAATGTGGTAAATCACTGGATTGTAATTCATTACGAAATCTCCCCATAACCCTGTTAATGGAGGACAATACTTTATATCCAAAAGTTTTGTCAAGAACATGCTAAAGTTTTTCTGATTGCCTTACTAACATGACACACATTTTGCATCACATCTGTTGTTCTTACTAATTCTATCCTGTTTTCTACTGACCCATCTCTCTCCTGATGCCTGGTAATTGATGACCACAAGGAACCAACACTAGATTTGGTGTAGGCTAGCTTTTTCTCTGTCCTCAAACAGTTTGTTTAGCCCCTGTCAAGTAAGTCAATTGTATTTTTCACGTTTTGAAAAAAAGTCACGAGAGTATGAACAGGCATTGATTTACGTGCCACAAACTATGATAATAGGCTATGGTACCCAGTGGGCTGAAACATGCGCATTGGATTTCATGTGAAATTCTTTAAAAATAATGCATTGAAAATGTGATTGTGTGCTACAGATATTTAATATAAGATCTAAAAGAACTATTTTTTGTAAAAAATACAAACAGGAGATTAGGCCACTCTTATTTTTATAATTATTTTCATGCTGATTTGACGGACATACAGTCATAATTGAAATAGGAAGTTGAACGAAATACTTACCATTGGAGTTTAGAGGTATCTAATTTCGAATTTGGTATCCAATACCAAACGGTGAATATATTTCTGAAAATGTCATTCAATTTCAATTTTTAAACCTGAGAACATTGAAGCAGATGAAACGGAATATTTTAACTTGTCATTAACTTAATATTTAATAAAATAAAAGCAAAACTTGAAAGTTCTTGAATACATATCCCTTGATGGCCTTTATTACATTTTATGATGCAACTTAATTTTAGAAATTGTTTGGTGTTGGCACTCATTAATTTTTCCAATGTTCAAGTTTGTGAGAATTTTTATCACAAACTTGATTCTTTATAATTTAATTTCTTCTTTCAATGTTGTATTTAAGTAAATATTCAAGTGTAAATATTTAGTGTACATAATTTCTACAGTTATATGAATAGGAACAATAAGAAACAGGACATCTTTTAATAACAGTTAATATTTTCTAACAAGAGTTGGCCCTTTTTAGAACATTCCTTCCAAACACATTACAGCAGTTTTATGAATTGTGTCAAGAACTATGCATCATCAGTGTACTTGAAAGTAATTTTCTGTACAATACAATCATAACACATTAGTAACATTTTCAATGCCAGCATTTCACTGGGATCAAGTGGCAAAAGCAAAATAAATATGATATAAGGGGATCACAATTGGAACAATATCATGTCTAACAATATGCATTATTGATAACTATATACAATATTAATGCATATATTTCAGTTTCAGGCACAACCTTAAGCACCTAACACTTAAACATATTACTTACAGTGAACTGAAGTAATAGAATAATACCTTCACACTGGGACAGTGAAAAAAAGGCACATTCAGTGTTATGTGATTTCTTGTGCAAGTTCAATTACAAGATTTACAAAAGTCACTATGATAAGTAAATAAACAGTTCAAATTTTCATTATTTTCTCCATATTAACTCTGTAACATAGATTCAAAAATCTATTAGAATTTATTTTTTTAATAAAGAAACTCATTTTCTACTAAATGCCTCTGAAGTAATTTTGATATGAATTAATATCTGCATTTCAGCCTTTTTTGAAAGTAAAAGAACTTTCTTTTTACCCTGCCAAATCTTGAAAATGTCAATTCGGGAAATGGAATTCTAAAAGCACTCCTTTTTTTTCTATTTTACTTCAGAATTCCAGAATTCTGGATGA